CATTTCACGGAGGCTATACATTTATTCTTGTAATAATCATGACAGCCATATACTCCTGGTTAGAAATTCTTTCAAAACTATGTTTTTTGACAACGCAGCTGGCAAATTAAGCAAAGTGTATGTTCTAGGCGTCCAGAAACTCCAACACAGCCAGCTTAGAATGCTTGGCTCTCTTGAGAGAGGCGTGATTAGTGAATAAAAAATCCCAGCATATTCACAGAGAGAATAATGACGAGTGGGGCGAGGCATTCATTCATCTGTTCGTCCACTCGTGCTTCCATTCGTTTGTCCGTGCATCCGAATGAGCGGACGCATGGACGGATGGATGGACGCATGAATAAATTGATGCACGGACGGACTGAAGCAAGAACGAACCAACGGACGGACGGCCAGAAGCACGGACACATGGACTGACGTATGCACGTAATCATGCACGGACAGACGGATAGGCGTAAGCATGGACGGGTGGACAGAAAACACGGGCGGACGGGCGAACGGACGGTCGGAAAGACGGATTGAAACGGACGCTTCGCCCCACTCATCATCATTCACTCTGTGGATATGCTGTGAAAACTATAATGAAATCTAGTTATATTCCAGGGGACATATACACGCAACGCCAACTATTTAGGAAGGCATAATCTAGAGGTGGCTGCATACTACATACGGACGAGGCAACTATCCATGGCCTAAGCAGCTTCACCCTTAAAATTTACGATTGTCACGTAAGCTCCTGATTTGGCATTTGTGAAAGACATTGTAATGGGAGCTGAGAAGAGGGGTTCACTTTAACTTGCTGCGGCTGAAACAATATTTTTTAAAATTTATTTTCGATTTTGAGGCAGTTCCTGTAGCGGCAGGCCATAAGCTCGATTGACTGCTCTCGGCGAAACAGCTGGTGCGGCGCTTTTCACCTTCGGAAGAAAACAAATTATTTTTTATAATAAGCAAGTATACTACGAGCGAAAGCGTAGGAAACTTTCGAATGCGTCGACATTCAAACTTTGCTTGGCTCTCCGGCTGATGCACCACATCGAACGTGCTGCATTTCAGCACACTTTTCGATTGTCGTGGGTGGCATATGAAGCAAGCGCTTTACAATGGCGCCATGCGTCGATGTAAATTACGAACATACGCATAGGTGTCTGCATGGTGGGGGGGGGGAAGCAGGACCGGGACGGACGTCTGCCAAGTCACTTGAGACGGCAGGGGGCGCAAAGTTGGCCTAATAAATCAGCATTAAGGGGTAGTTGCACCTTGCTTTCGCCCCCCCCCCCCCTCTCATCCCGTTTTTAAAAGAGAACAGTGCTCACGCTTATGATGATGAAATTGTACGTTCTTCGTTGACACAGTGAACTTTCAGGTTTACTTTGAAAGACGTGTTCATCGATATAACCATGCTGGGGAACTTGACTGACCATGGACGCCGCACTTCGTCAGCGAGACAATATACATCCGCTATTCATCAGTGGCGCAGCGAAGGGGTTAGGTGGTATATGGTACTAACCTGAGAAAAAAAAAAAACATGATTTATCCCTCCCTTAAAGCAATAGAGAAAACACAAAAGTAAAACGTGTCTTTGCAGAAGTAGTTTAATATACCATGATATAAAAGAGCTTGCGCAATGTCCATTATTGTTAGGCAGTTAGATTATTTCTTGACGTGTATGCATTCACAATGACGCTTAGTCATTCTTCTACCTCTCGCAGGCTAACGTCAATCATTAGGAAATAATAAAACCTCTGTGGTCACAGATGCGCGTGGCAGCTGTGGTAGTTACATAATGGGCATTTAAACACCGACGGACGTCCACTGGACAACCGCTTCCGGATTTCTCGGTCGTCCACTGTTCGTCTGGAAACCACCGATCGGCATCCAGCGGACATTCGCAGGACTCTAAGGAGCATACTAACACTGAGTGCTACCAGAGAAAGCGATGCGACAGCCAGAAGAGCATGATGATTGGAAGCCGAACTTGGCATAAGGCCGCCCTGTTGTGGCATATTACAGTTATCAAACCCTACTGCCTGACCAGAAAGAAACACAACACGCGTAGTGTGCTCCCGTTAGCCCGCCGCGATTATTCGTGGGACGAACGAAAGTGGGTAACGTGTAGCCATATCCTGGCGGAAGAAGAGCGTTCCAGAGGTTGCACAGCTTTGTTTGGTATGAATGGATGCTATGAACGATGTCAATGCTCGTGGTAAGCCCGCCTACAGGTGAAGTGTTAAGACGTCAACAAAGTTGCTCTTCTGCGACTGGCAACATGATGAACGGGACGGACGTTTAGAAACGAACCTTAGAAGGAACTTATCAAGGGAACTACTTCATAGAGTACTGCACTTTACCAACAACGCTCTCAGAGGACAGTGGAAGAAATAAAAGCCATATTTTTAGAGCGTACAAAGTATGCGGTTTTCTTCAAAGCCACATGAAGTTTAGAGTATTTGTATATATAATGTTACCGGTAGGTCATTTAATTATTCGGAGTTATTGGTGAACGAGATGACACCAGCCCAACAACAACCAGCAACCGTCGTTGTCCTTCACTTTCATGCACCAAAGCTGCGACAGCTGTTCTGTATCAACCCCCCCCCCCCCCCGCGGTATAAGCTCCGTTTCAGTGCTTGGTCTACATGCATGCGGTCAAAGGATGTTGATAAGGCTTGAGTCGAGCTATGTGCAAGATGTTGCTCGAAGCGGACGATAACAACGTTCGATCGGCTGGAACGATGTCTTATGTAATGTCAGTCACGTGGCAAATGACGCGGTTTGGTCCAGTTTACCGAGCAGTTTTTGAAAAAGACCAACGCGCCGAGTGGGTGACCACAGAAGGACAAGGGAACACGGCGAAAAGTGCACGTTTTGACGATGAGAATCGTAGTGCTGCCTTTGGTGCTCCTGTGAGGCCTTTAGACAGTCGCAGGTGAACTGGCGTGCGTCGACGTCTCGCGCGATGGCTTCACCGTCATATTGAGTGAGGGAGGGCAGCAAGGTGTTAAAGCGTCGTATAGAAAAGGCCATATAGGCCATATAGAAGATTCACTTCGGAGAGGTGGGGTCATTTCCCCTCTTTCTCTCTCTATACGCTACGTGGCGATTTTCGCACTTGCGATATTCTTGAGTGGTGCTTGATAGATCGACAGCAATCAGGCACCACACAGAAGCTTTAATCCCATTTCGCAGTGGTCGCGCCGCTGAAAGTTGCTTATCACTAAACTTATCTTGCGCCATACGTGTTCACGTTTCCAGGGACCTTGCTGATGAACATTACTTTGTGCGTGTAGTGGCCGAAATAGCAGAGAAGCTGTCTTCGGTGCAACAGCAAAATGGTATCGGTAATATCACACGCACTCATTTTTAACTGTACATCGTTCCATTGATTTTTATAGGCTTACAAATTTCACTTGTCCAGACTACCGAAACGATGGCACCGCTTACCGGGGGCGTTGGCAGAATATTTTTTAAGGGGGGAGGGGGACAAGTTCAAGCCCACTTGAAGTGGGGCATGAACTTTTGGTTGCGGGGATTTCGGGATGCAATGGCAAAATAAATTGATTGCGATGCGGGGGTGGTGAAGGGGCTCAAGGTGCCACGGCAACACTGCTGCCACTCACCTAACTGTGTTAAATGGTAAGTTGGTGCGTATTCATTTCTGGAACAGACGAAAAAAGATGACAAAAAAAGAAAAGTATAAACAGTACTATTTGCCTTCCCTCCAACTTCGTCTTGGTTTCTTGTGCGCTTTTTCCTGCAAATATCAATGCAGACCCAGAATATTCTCGAATTGCGGTGTCCAAGAACAAAATAACTAAAGGTCAATTTAGGAAAGTGGCATCTTATTGTACAAACACCTGCACTTTACTACAAGCAGCACTCACAGTACAACTACAACGTCTAGCACAGACTGTGGTCGTCGAAGATCAGGCACATGAGTACGAAGACTGCTACGGGCTAGCGCTTCACACGCAACACAGAATCTCGTCACAATCTCGTCACGTACGTCGTCACTTTCCGAAAAACAGTCGCACATACCGGGGGCGTATGTGCACTGGATGCGGGTATGCGCGAATGATGATAGACGTTTTATATCTACTCAGGAACTCTGAGAACACACATGGGTAACATTAACGCTTGAGCTTTAGGAAAACCTGCCTTAGACAGCGTTCACCGAATCAATTTGAACAGTAAATGTCAGTGTCCCAGCTGCAATCGGACTCTAGAATTCTGCGTGGCAGCGAAGTATCCTGCACAGAGCCACATCAGGTCTCGAGTATACTTTTCAAATAGGCCCTAAGGTTTGTGTACCGTCAATTGTGGGTGCAGAACTGGCTATTCACTTTTATACATATGTACTCCTATAATGCAGCCGTCATGTGACGTTTACGTAAATTGTAATTAGGCGTCATCAGCTGAACTTGATTTGTGTAGCAGTATTGAGGCTATCATCCTCGCGCGCACCAGCACAAACACCAGCGCTTCATATCAGCCTACCATCTTTTGGTATTGCTAATATCCATGTTACTGTTGGCATCGTTACACTACTGCACTCAACTGCTAATATGAAACTTCTGAAGCTGTTTAACATATGTGTGTGCGTGTATTTGTACATATATTTACCGCCACTCGATAAAATCTCGGTCATCAAAAAAAATAAAACATATTCACCTTACGCCGGCTTACTTCGCATAACACCATTTAGCGAGGTACGTGGTATCTGCCAATTTTTTTTAAAGACACAGCATACACACAAAAATACTGCACACATCACGATGTATATATGTTCTTTGCGCCATTATACAGTATATGATTTCCTTCTTTATATAAGTTCCAGTCTGATCACATCAAAAATATATAAGCAAATTAAACCTTGAGGTCACAGAAGAACGCCACGTTAGTGTATTAGAAGGCTCCGGGAATAAAATTGGATCTTAAACAAATTCCCGGTTTTGCAATTCAGATTGTTGGCTATACGGCGTCCCACTGTAAGCAGACCTCACGTGGTCGTATAACTTGCGGATGATGTCGATCTCATCGATCACGGCGTTCGTGAACATATCGATGAAGGCCAACACGATGACGGCGATGAGGCAGACGCCACCTATGATCATGACGTGCTCCTTTAGAAAGCGATTAGCCGCGTCCGGGCAACTTCCCGTATGCACGCGGAACCAAGCCTCGTGGTCGGACAGGTTCAGCACATCGCGTCCGCAGAAGATGCCCGTGTAACTGGAGTCCACGCGACAGCACGATGGCGGCACTGAGCAGCGCTCGTGGCTCGGGTTGGACAGGTTACAGTGGAAGTAGCTGCTAAAACAAGGTGTTTGAAGAACTAGTAAACTGAGTAAAACACAACCACGTCAAACAATTTTTGCAGCTAAGCTCTGTACTTATAACCCTACAATAAGTTTGTCTTTATAGACAACAAAAAACACACAAAATAAATGATGGGCCCCTAAATCACTACCAATGTTCATGCTAGCGTCAATTTCTGTTAGTAGATGCACGTGCTCGTGGCATTTTCACTTCGAACGCTGAACAAAATAATTCGTACAACTGGATAGATGAGTCGATGAAATCGTTCGCTTTAGTGTCGTGTACAACTGCAGCGTCATGAATAAATTTTATCCTGTGGGTGGTTAGGGGCCAGACAGCATAAATAACATTAATACAAACGGTGCATCTTGCTTTTTTGAAGACGATATTCTTTCTTGAGACCTTCGACAGAAAAATTTGGTCTTTCTGTCTGTACAATTGTCTGTTTGTCTGCCCTAACGATACCTCAAACGGCACCAAACGGCCAACCTCGTTCGCAGCGCCCACCAATATTGCTCAAAGTTTATCGGTCATAGCTGTGCGATCGTCAATTAAATAGCAATTATTGTGCACATCTGAGGTGCCATAACAACACTTCGAAGTTTTGTATGTCTGCCTTTATACTACAAGAGGCACACACAAGAAACACTAAGGAAGTTAGCGTTTATCGCGCTGCACTAACAGTGCCACACTATGCTCAAAAAGGTGTTTCCAACGCTTTGCTATGACGTCACGCTGGTGGCACCTGCCCGTCGCTTTGCGTTCAACACTTTATCACCTCCGAGACTGGCGCGCACCTTTCTCCACGGGCTGCACGCCTTCGTTTTTGAAGAGGACGCTTGTGCCAGATGGCGCTCGTGTCTAACGTGCCTTAAGGTCCCTAGATGAAACAAGGTAGCGTCACTCATTATTCTCGAGCCGTCCTTCTCACTCTCTCGATTACTCCTCTTTTTCTCTGCCATCCGCGTCTATAATTGGTGCATTACTTGCACGTGATCTTGCAAATGGCTGGTGGTGTTATTTACTATTATGCAAAAGGTTCAAAACGAGTACGCATGCGCATATAGCTCCAGCCGGATTCTCGCCGTGACCAAAGACAAAATCGTAGCCAGAACATAAACTGAAGAGGAGGATCGTTTCAGTGTGCGCTAAGTCGACCAAGATTGTTTCGCCATGCTCGTTTAATGCAACATCTGCGTTTTTCAGCAATGCTGCTTTGCCGTAAACAACAGAAAATGATTTCGCTCTCTTCAACTTACCTTGTGCTTTCCGAGATGAAGCGCACCATGAAGTGCAACTATGAACCATTTCACGCGAATGCTTTCGTGCAACTCCGTCAACGTATGTCGACGCGGATCTGCGAAGCGAGTTCACTTGTCGGTTTTTATTGAAACGCCAGGCGCGCGTCTAATACGTGTCTAGTGCATGCCAGTTGGTACAAATACATGTGGGTATGCACGTATACAGAGCAGCTGTAGGTAGTAATCAACGCACCTTCAGAAACATTTCACTTGTGACCAGTTCCCGCTTAAGCCGAAACGCGCTGCTTCGAGACACCTCACCAGTAGAACTCTCACTTTTCAGGAAGTTCCAAGCACCGCATCAGAATCACTTGGCATCACGATTGTCCAAATGGGCACATTTAAAAAAAAACGTCATCGCAGTGCTGCTGGACGAGTGTTCGTACCAGCCTGGTCGTAGTTTTTTTTGTTGCGTGTGCACAAGCCGGTTGTAATCAATCGTCACAACGTCACGCCCTGTGGCCACTTACAGGATCCAGCAAGAAGCACGTTCACTGTGTCACAGCATGAACAAAACGCAATCGGAGAAGTGGACTAGTTAGAACTGGACGAAATACCGCGGCCGTGGAACTAAAATGTACTACGCGAGACGCCATGGCTAGTGGTGTAAAGTAAAGAACTGCACAACGTTGCCGGTTGAGTAACGCACATCCCGCTTGCTCTTGTGTTGTGCCGATTATGTTAATAAAGGTAACTGTTTATTCTACGTCTTATTTCGTTCCATTTCGTTTCATTAACATCTATTCACCGTAGCAACGGAACCCAAACATTCGCTTTTGGATGAATGTTTTAAACCTTCTAGGGGGCGCTTCAGGAACATAGGCGAAGAGGAAAGGGAAAGGTGTCGCTACCTTGGAAACTTGTTTCATCTAGGGACCTTAACGTGCCTCGATGCACTGGTTCGCCCCCGCTACACGCTCGAGGCACTCTAACGCAGCGCCTCCAGAATACCCTCCACCATTTTTGTTTTGCGCAGAACATCAAGCAAACGTGTTGTTCACTCTCTTCAGACGAAAGACTATCGTCTTTCGACTACATTTTGCGGTGTAACACGCAGATTTGGAACCAATTTATGAAAAATAAATACAGCACTGTTCACTGTTCATTTTTACGAAGAAAACTATGTGAAAATCATCAGAATCACATACTGGATAACAAGGTGCCTGTAAACAATGGGAACACCCCCCCCCCCCCCTCCCATACGTTCTCGTTGTCGTGGCTGCTTTGCCCTCCAGAGGTGGGCTTTGAATGTCGTCATAGCACCCTGCCTTCGAATGATGTCACTTCTCCCCGTCAGCTCCACAGGCGACAAAAAAAATCAACGACAGAGCTACCGCCAACGTGTGTATGAAAGGGGAAATGATGAGCATGTGTGTTGGGGAGGCGGTGGTTACATCCTGTTTCAATAGCTGTTCACCGTGCTATGGAAGGTACGTGTGCCCTCAGCCAGTCATGAGAGAGCACAGTACGAAATTTTGCGCCTTCGCAAATGTTGCGTCCTTGAAACTGGCAAGTGGCTGCATCTGTGTGCAAAATTAGACATTGTACTATTCAGCCAGAGTTACTCAATCACACCAGTTGCAAAACAGCGTTCCAAAAGCTGCACACGCAATTGGTCAATTCTACGTAAACTAGCAGACTGTCGCGTCATCTCGTAGCGGCAACGTAAAACACAAAATATAGCGGTTAATAGTTGGCTTGCTGATCAACAAGTGATAAGACAATGTGTGCAGTACAGCCATCTCAGCCAATGGCGTGCTCAGATTTTGATACACAGAGCCTATGGGTAGTTTTACAACTCGTATGATTTTGCTATACAGCTGCAGAATTTTTACAGGCTCCATGCCTACTCATGACCATAATATGAGGACATGCGAATGAAGCGTCATCGGCAACAGCAATGTCTTGCCGTAACTGAACAGAAAATAGACGAAAACAATCACATTTGGACGAAAACTGCTAGTTCCAAAAAATACTCATTGTCATATGGTGCAGAGATCCTGTGGACTGTCATGGTAAAGTAACAGTGTCATTCCATTAACTGCGTGGCTGCGCAGAGTGTGTAATAATCTACGATGAAGCCCATGTGTTTATAAAAAGCGAAGAACAATTGTCCTGGAAAGCCTTAAACTTTTTATTGCTATACTTTCTAATTTATAATTAGTTTCTAATTTTGTAATTAGTTTCTTCTGTTTATAACCGGAACCGTTTCATTTACTTATGTTTTTAGATATAATTTTCTCTTGCTTATTTTTTATTTATTTATGGCAGGATTGCCTTCTTGCGGCCAAAAAGATGGTCCCACTTACTTACGTTCTAATGGTCTAGAAATTTTGAGCCCCGGGCACGTAAATACATAGTGCTGTCGAAGTTGGGATCAGTTATGGCGGTAATTTTCCGCTGCTGCGTAGTGTTGCTCCGCCAAACAAACTGAAGTTGATGTAGTTTGTTTCCCCGTCTACATTTTCCGCGTTCATGCGGGTGAAAGAAAACTACATTTTTTTTCGTAGATTTAGGAGCTTTCATTTAGGAACTGTGTGAAAAATTACGACATCGTCGGAAATAATGTCTGGTCTTGCTATTCGTCAGGTTTTACAGAAATATATAACTAGTACATCTTCTTCCCATAGACCAGCCCCACTGTCACTCTACCCATCGCATTTTCATCTGTGTAAAGTTTCGGAGCTTATACAGGTTCCTGGCTCTAACACGTTCCCCGTAAAATGAGAAACAACTCGGTTGCTTGGGGTTGCGATAAGAAAGAGGTTTTACCAAATGCGTTCGCACTATTGTTTAGCAGCAATAATAAAAAAAAGGTGCACCCAGCATACCGTATTTTGTTTTTAGGAACAATAACCACCACTTTATGTTCTTCGTGTACTGGCATTTTCCAGCCTTTCTCAGAGATTTTCATGGAGTGCACGATCCCTTATCACCAATATAAAGCAACAAGAACATCGTTGTGTTATAAGCTTTGCACTTTTTACGGTTTGGAAAAAGCAGGTACGGCAATCACTTAGGGTTTGGAAAATGTGATACTTACATGTTATTTTCTCAGTCGCGAAAGTTTCGGTGTGTCATTACGCAGCACTTCAGGTAGCGCTGTACTGCGTCGACCAAGTTCTCAATGTCTGGCGCATCGCGATACTGAACCACCAGCCTTTCGGATAGTGTGGTCCTTATCCCGACCGTGATGCTGCCTGAAAAAAATTGGTAGAATAAAAGCGAGTGAAGATCCACATGTAGTCTGGCATGACAATTGGAAAATTTGTGAGGAAGCAATCATGACGTTCTGACTCTAACTAAGTTAGCATTTGAGTGCTCAGCCCATCAAAAAATGGTTCGTGTAAAAGCTGCAGGAACACAAGCTGCAGGAACACTGAGTGTGTGATGGATAATGAGGCAGCCATAATTAAGAAAACAAAACATGTGATACAGCATGTACACCAATAACTAAACATACGATGCAATATAAAGTGCAACCGCCTGGCCCTCAGGATATGGCCTGGCCCTAAGATTCATTGGCCCCAAGATACGTTCTTGCACGAATTGTTTGTTACTCTGAAAGAGAAGTCTGCTACGATAATTTTCACATTTGACATATCTGCACGCTTCGAGTTCTAAATGTCGTCGTGATTAACCATTCCAGCCGCGGAAGCTGTACGAGCCGTAGGTGTGGTGCACTCAAAATAAAATATATATATATGTATATATATATGAATAGGTTCTCTTCTCGGAATGTTTCAGAAACTCATTAAGTTCGGCTTGCGGTCAACGCTTTCCATCTGGTGATGCCACTCCCAAAAATGAAAAAAAATCACAGCATATCCACAAGGTGACTGATGATGAGTGGGACTCACGACTGAGCGGACGAACACACGGATGGAAGGAGGCACGCATGGACTGACGGGTAGACACAAAAACGGACGAAGTGAATGCACGCACGAACAGACAGACGCGTGAACGGACGCATGGACAGACGGACGGATGGACGCATGAAAGGAGTGATGCACGAATGAACCGACGCACACACGAACGGACACATGACGGATAGATGAACGTCTGTCTGTTCACCGGTCTGTCTGTCTGTCTGTCTGTCTGTCTGTCGTCTGTTTGTCTGTCTGTCTGTCCGCGCGTGCTTTCATCCATTCTTGTGCCTATCCATCCGTGCATGCGTCCATGCATCGGATCGCCTTCGAGAATGCACACGGCACGCGGGTAACACCGACGAGACGCCAGCCAAAGAATCCGAGCGCATAGCTTTTTGAACGCACCCACCGCTCTGCTTCGCGATTGGGAGAAGCAGGGGTGGCTACTACGACGGAAGCGATACTAACCCACACCCAATGGAGATTCGTCCCTAAAATAGAACTTATTTGTCTGTTTCAAGGAACGTGAGCTCGCAACTCTTCCTCCTCGCCTGCAGAGAACTGCTCGGCCGGGAACAGACAAGCCTATGAAAGGAGCATAGCAATAGAAAATAGCGAAACAAGCAAAGTCCCTTTTTTGAAGATCATAGCGTGTAACGTCACTGATACGACCCCGTTTCGAAAAATTCCGTCGGGTACGTGTGCGGCGAAGATTCGCACGCAGCTGTAACACCCCAAATCAATGTTGGCATATGGGTGGTTAGGGTGTTCTTTGGGATATTTTTGTGCCGAAAAATTGACAGACCCCACGTACAGTGGAAATCGATAATATTCCAAAGCACGAATGAGAAACGTTGATATGTCATTTTAAAATCAGCACAAAGTTACGAGGTGGAGGTGAATGAGGCCGTACATGACTTCCGTATTATGTTATAATGTTTGGATGTGCCGTTTACCTTCGTCATATATTTAAGTCACGTGATGCCAAAATTATTATGTGTAGAGCTAGGGAAAAAGCCGTGAGAATGCTATGAGCGTGGAATGTTGCATGTTCTTAGATGACACGTGTGTCAGGATTATCATGTTTGCACCAGTCATGTATTTTGCCATCAAATGACGACACGTAACACCAAATTTTGTATATGTGGAGTTAGTAAAACAGCCGCGAGTTCGTCCTGAAGGGCCCATTATAATCCAATGTAGCGTTAAAGCACGCGCTCGCTGGGCACAGTGACGCTACGTTAGCAAAACACGAGCACTCTTTAGTGCGACGCTAGGCGCGACCGGCGCGACTAGCGTCCATCGGCGCGGCTTGACGGCAACCAGCGAGAAATGTGACACGCTGCATTTCGCGTCGATGCGTTACCCAGACAACACTGCGTCTCCTTCTTTTTGTGACAGAGGGACGCCGGACGCGTTCAAACGTGCATGCGTCAAAGCAACGCAGTGCGGCGCGCGCCTGCGAATATATGGCAGGACCGGCGCCTGGCGTGGCAACACCGGTGTGGCGCGATGAAATGAACGCCGACGACCACGCGGACCACTTCACCTTGAAATGTACTGGCGCCTTGACTTTGGCATGTAGTCATGTATTCCAAAGACCGGCATCTCCTAATTATCATGTTTGGATGAGTCATTTACCTATGTCGTCCACTTGCGTCGCGTAATGCGGTATTTGGTACAAGTGAAGCTAGCGAAACGGCCGCGAGCGCATCATGAGCGTAGCACGTAGTCATGTTATGCCATACCAGATTTCGTATCAATACCATTATCAAAATGAACAGGAGAGCTAAACGTCGTAGGCGGCTAGATTGATAGAAAGATAGATTGATAGATAGATAGATAGATAGATAGATAGATAGATAGATAGATAGATAGATAGATAGATAGATAGATAGATAGATAGATAGATAGACAGGTATTTCATGTTTATCATGTTTGCACCAGTATAATACCTTCATCAGCCATTCAAGTGCCGCAATGCCAAATTTGGTATAAGTGGAGCAAGCGGAACGGCCACCAGCGAATCATGAGCGTGGCATGTAGTCATGTTGTTACATGACACGCTTTTCATGTTTATCATGTTTGCACCGGTATAATACCTTCATCATCCATTAACGTCCCATAATACAAAACTTGGTATATGTGACGCTAACAAAACGGCCGAGAACGCATCATGAGCGTGGCATGTAGTGATGTTGTTACATGACACGCATATCATGATTTTCTTGTTTAGGTCTGCTGCTTGTGTTCGCCATGCAATCATCCCATACCATGCCAGTTTTGCTACATGGCATGTGAACAAAACCACCGCAAGAGTTTCAGGACCATGAAAGGTAAATCTTGTGATTCATACCAAATACGTCTAGATTTTCATGTTATAGCTAGTCAAATCTCTTCTTCATACAGTCATGTTATGCCATACCAGATTTCATATCGATACCATTATCAAAATGACCAGGAGAGCTAAACGTCGTAGGCGGCTAGATTGATTGATAGATAGATAGATAGATAGATAGACAGATAGATACGCTTGAAGTCGCCGAAATTGCCAAAAAATGCTTCGCACATAAAACCAGTAATTGCTTAGCATACTGGCAGGATGTATAAATATCATCATCATCTGCCTGACTACGTCCACTGCAGGACAAAGGCCTCTCCCATGTTCCGCCAGTTAACCCGGTCCTGTGCTTGCTGCTGCCAATTTATACCCGCAACATCTTAATCTCATCTGCCCACCTAACCTTCTGTCTCCCCCTAACCCGCTTGCCTTCTCTGGAAATCCAGTTAGTTATCCTTAACGACCAGCGGTTATCCTGTCTACGCGCAACATGCCCGGCTTATGTCCATTTCTTCTTCTTAATTTCAGCTGTGATATCCTTAACCCTGGTTTGTTCCCTAATCCACTCTGCTCTCTCCTCGTCTCTTAAGGTTACACCTACCATTTTTCTTCCCATTGCTTGCTGCGTCGTCCTCAATTTAAGCTGAACCCTCTTTGTAAGTCTCCAGGTTTCTGCTCCGCAGCTAAGTACCGGCGAGATACAGCTGTTATATACTTTCTCTTTAGGGATAGTGGCAATCTACCAGTCATAATTTGAGAGTGCTTGCCAAATGTGCTACACCCCATTCTTATTCTTCTAGTTACTTCAATCTCGTAGTTCGGCTCCACGGTTATTACCTGCCCTAAGTAGACATAGTCTTTTATAACTTGAAGTGCACTATTACCTATCTCGATGCGCTGCTCCTTTTTGAGGTTGTTGTACATTACTTTCGTTTTCTGCAGATTAATTTTAAGACCCACCTTTCTGCTCTCCTTGTGTAACTCCGTAATCATGAGTTGCAATTCGTCCCCTGAGTTACTCAGCAATGCAATGTCATCGGCAAAGCGCAGGTTACTAAGGCACTCTCCATTAACTCTTATCCCTAACTGTTACCCTTCTAGACTTCTGAAAACCTCCTGTAAGCACGCGGTAAGTAGCACTGGGGAGATTGTGTCCCCCTGCCTTACACCCTTCTTGATTGGTATTCTGTTGTTTCTTTATGAAGCACTATGGTAGCAGTTGATCCCTTGTAGATTTCTTCCAGAATGTTTATATATACTTCATCTACGCCCTGATTCCGCAGTGTTTGCATGACGGCTGATATTTCTACTGAATCAAACGCCTTCTCGTAATCTATGAAGGCTATGTATAGTGGTTTGTTATCTTCTGAACATATCTATATTACCTGGTTGATAGGTATGAATGTGGTCGATTGTTGAGTAGCCTGTTCGAAATCCTGCTTGTTCCTTTGGTTGATTGAATTCTAATGTTTTCTTTACTCTGTCAGCAATTACCTTTGTATATAGCTTGTATACAAGAGATAGCAAGCTAATCGGCCAGTAATTCTTCAAGTCCTTGTCATCTTCTTTCTTATGTATTAGGATGATATTAGCGTTCTTCCAAGGCTCTGGTACTCTTCCCATCAGGAGACACCTCGTAAACAGGGTGTCTAGTTTTTCTAACACAATCTGTTCTCCATCGTTGAACAGATCTGATGTTACCTGATCCTCACCAGCAGCTTTGCCTCTTTGCATGCTCTCAAAAGCTTTTCTGACTTCTTCTATCATTACTGGTGGGGTTGCATCTGGGTTACTGCTAGTTCTTATAGTATTAAAGTCGTAGTTGTTCTGGATACTGTACAGATCTCTGTAAAACTCCTCCACTATTTTAACTATCCTATCCATATTAGTAGTTCTTTTGCCTTCTTCGTCTCTTAGTGCATACTTTTGAAAGTAATTTGTGTAGCGCGAGGCGAAAAAACGAACACAGGAAAGAATAGACTGAGAAGACAGAGCGCTAATATCAGCATGTTTATTTTCTACCTCCAAGCTGTTTTTAAGCCATAATCGTCAGGCGACCAAGCAGATAAGCACGTGTAATTCAGATACATGCACGACAATGCCCTCTACCTACAAGAAAAAACGATAAAAAAGACAACAAAAAACCTCACTGATAAAATAACGTATCACTGCGTACGCAGGAACGCCATTTCCATGGGTGACAAGGCAATTCAAGACTTGCAATGCATACATCTCCAAGAGCATCAATAAGTTCGGCTTCTATGATCAACCGAGTCATCTCATCCTTACGCCGACCAACGACTGTGTTTGTTTTTTCGCCTCGCGCTACAAAAATTTCTTTCAAATGTTTCACCAACAAGCCCACATCGCCACTCTTACTGCATACATCCTATTTTTGCCTATCCCAAGTTTCCTCTTCACTGCTTGGACGCTTCCTTCGTTTTTCAGAGCGTGTTCTATTCTCTCCATATTATACCTTCTTACATCGGATACCTTACGCCTATTAATCAACTTCGAAAGCTCTGCCAGTTCTATCTTGTCTGTTGTACTTGAGACTTTCATGATTTGACGCTTCTTAATAAGATTCTTCGTTTCCTGGGAAAGCTTGCCAGTGTCCTGTCTAACTACCCTGCCTCCAACTTCGACTGCACACTCCGTAATGATACTCGTCAGATTAACATTCATTGTATCTATGCTATGGTTAGTTTCCTCACTAAGAGCCGAGTACCTAATCTGAAGCGAGACTCTGAATTCCTGTACTTTCCCTCTCAGTGCTAGCTCATTGATTGGTACGGTATAAATATAGGTTTGTTATAAAACTAAAGAGAAACTTGAATACAATGATTTGGTCTTTCTTCATTCAAGACGTATCATTTACAATAAATGGGTCAGTCGAACGCATTGGCGTAGCGGTTACGGTGCTTTACTGCTGGCCTGGAGGCCGAAGCGTTCCATTCCGACTGCAGCGTTCGCATTTCCATAGAGGCGAAATGCTAAGGGTCCCTGCACTCTGTGATGTCCGTGCACGTTAAAAAACACCAGATGGTCAAAGTTTCCGGATCATCGTATCACTGCAGCAGCCCCTATTGTCACAGGCCGCTTTTTGGATGGAATGTGTGATATAACAAATTGTTAATTATTAAAAAAATTGTTACCCTATATGGATACGATTATTAGGAGTGGTCCTCGTAGCTTTGGACAAAGGTCTTAAAATATTAACTCAGGAACAGGTGATCGTTGACACATAACCATTTGCGACGGAATTTCAAAGCCAGGTTAGTGCTTGAAGGCGGGCACACCGATTCCGTAGTTCGTGTGCTACACCTTGTACAAGTTTTGTTACCCTGCACAGGGACGATCCGCCTTATGTTTTGTAGGAAAGTGCATTTGCATGTAGCATATATTTTTAATAATGCTAGCACGTGGATGGTATTAGTTGGAATTCAAAAAAAGTCATCCCATATTATGATGTCCTTCACGCAATATCGATGCAATTGAAGTATACTATTGAGTGGTTAACGCATTTCCGTTTTTGAATACATGAAACTTAGCCTATATATTTCATGCAAAAAAGCCGAAAGGGGTAACTATATGACAAGTTCTCAATCGCAAGATATATTTGTCGAGAAGAACACACGAAATGATTCCCCGATTTCCCTGTTGTCATTGTGTCACCGATAAGGCTCAGACAGCTACATTTTCTTACCAGGAACAAAAAATACCAGAACACCCAGCACGAAGTTGATGAGAATCAGGAGGGTGAGTGCGTGGGAGTACATATTGAGCAGGAAGGTGTTCTCGCGCAGTGCCCCAACGCATCCGCATGAGCTGACCGTGAACAGGGCGAGCCCGAATGAAAAGAGCAGCACCTCCAGGTGCGACAGTAGCGTGCCGGGAAAGTCCAGATTTTCCAAGATGCGCTCGTCCTCCTCAAACTCCCACGATTCAACCAGAAAAAGTGCCCCGGCCAACATGAAGAACGCCCCCACGAACCACAGGAGAAGATAGAGAAGCAGCAGTGGGTATCGCACCTTCAAAGAGAAGAAACCGGATTTCACACAGTCGCTAGCGTCAGCGTTCTACAGGCAGCCATTTATAATAGCCGATCATAGGAACTCATAAATTGAGGAATTTTAAGCGATGTTTTCTTTTCGAACTACTTCCGGTTGATGCAGTACGTTACAATACAATACATTAATTTCTTGGAATTCAATTAAGGGATATGAGGTATACTAGTGGTTAAGAGCTGTTGGAAAAAAAAAAGACACAGCATATCCATGGAGCGCAGGAGGGTTGACAGGCGGGCTAGTTGGTAAAAATTCATAATGGAATAATTGAAAGCGCAAACCAACGGGACACAAGAGACGTATAAGCGGAGACATATGCGCTTGTATGTCTCTTCTCTTGTGTACCGTTGTTTTGCGCTTCCAATTATTCATTATGAATATCCATGGAGTGCAAGACAATGAGTGGGGCGATGAAGCATCCGTCAGTCCATACATGCTTCCGTTCGTCCATTCTTGCTTGCTTCCTTCCACCCGTGTGTCCGTCTGTGCGACCGTCCTTGCGACCGTCCGCATCCGTTCATGCGTCCGTCCGTCTGTGCGTCCGTCAGTCCACGCGTCCGTTTGTCTGTCCGTGAATCCGTCCATCCATGCATCCTTCCTTCAGTGCGTACATCCGTGCGTCTGTCCATCCAGGCGTCTATTCATGCGTCTATCCGTGCGTTCATTCATACGTCCATCCGCGCATTCATTCGCGAGTCCGTCCCTGCGTTCGTCCATGCGTCCATCCATGCATTCGTCCATTTGTCCGTCTATCCTTCTGTCCGTCCCGTCATATATTCATCATACTAAAGTACTGTCATCTAGAGGACCTTCCAAGGACTGAACGAAAGGTGGTACGGCCGGACTATAAGAGCGGCACCCACACAGTGTCTTACGCCTGGTCCTTGTGTATAGTTTTCTCCTTTCACTTCCGCTAGTTCAGCACTTGCTTGGCATCTTGAAACGCCAGCGGCCGAAAGCGGCACCCCCGCAGGTTATACGCCTTTGACTGAATTCTTTACACGTGATCCAGTCAACGGGTGTGCAGCGTGAGCAGCAGTTTTTTTTTCGGACGAAGCTTTTTATAGCGGCACCCTGTTCATCCCTCGTAGCCGTTGTAGTGTGCAACAAGTATAACATTTTGATCTCCAATCAGATTTGGGTGCACGTTAAAGAAGCCCAGGTGGTCTAAATTTCCGGAGCCCTCCACTACGGCGTCTCTCATAATCATATAGTGGTTTTGGGACGTTAAACCCCACATATCAATCAATTTTGATCTCCAAGGTGGGGCCGGTGAGAGATTCTTTCTGTGCATTTTTAAACAATAAAAAATAGTGCTCAATAAACATGCCAATGACTGCAAGCGGGGAGTGAGAGACAGGAGCATTTGGCTTTTAGTTAACGCGCACATTGCGATTCTCAATAGCAGCCATTGGCATGTACATTGAGTACTATCTGACAAGGAAAGGCTGCTACGTCATACTCGCTGGGTGTAACCTTCTTAGTTTAGGGAAGGTTTAGCGAGCGTTGAGCCACAGTGCCATGAATACAATGAACTAGTATATACCATGACTGAACTCGAGGTGGTTAAAGGTGGGAAGTAGATACCAAGCGCTAGCCGTAAGAAAGTAAAAGCCGAATTCTCCTGTCTCTCATTTCCCATTAGCAGCCATTGGCATATACATTGAGCAGTATCTGGCAGGAAAAGGTTGCTACGTTATGCTCGCTGGGCGTAACTTCCTTCGTTTTAGAAAGATTTAGCTAGCGTTGGGCTGCAGTGCCATGAATACAATGAACTAGTATATACCGTGAACTCGAGGTGGTTTAAGGTGGGAAGTAGACCCGAAGCTCAAGCCGTAAGAAAGTGTGCGTGTGCCACCTCTCGTTTAATCCTTGGAATGTTCGCTGGATGGCGGTGCTTCTATATGGGGAATATATGATGAAAAGATGCGAGATGGTGGTACTTGGAGTGTTGAATAGATGGACGAACGGACACACAGACAGATGCATGGATGGACGCATGAACAGACGTAGGGGTGGATGCATGGACGAACGCAGGGCCGGACGCACGCAGAGACGGACGCACGTGCGGACGTGCGGATGGACTCATGGACGGTCACACAGACGGACGCATGGACGGACGGAAGCAAGAACGAATGTACGGACGAATGCTTCGCCCCACTCTCCATCACTCACTCCGTAGATATGCTGCCAATTTTTTTTCTAAACACACAGTGGGGGGGGGGGGGTATAAATGAATTCGGTAATCCCTGAATTTTTCGTCGATATGGCGTCATCAAGTGTGAGACCCAAGGGACGGCTTTTGGTTCTCTCATGTATGGTACAGTACCGAGTACTTTAAATCGTTGTGTACTTTTTCTAAACATGGTTTCTCGCCTTAGATATTTTCCATAATTGATAATCTGTTCACTCTCTCTCAGCTTATAGCCTAGCAAATACTGACCTGATTTGCGACCGTTGGTTCATTAGATATTGTGTCCTATTGTGTATTCTTGAAAAACATAATGTCATGCTTCTCTTTGCGCAGAGCAAAGAAGTGATGGGCTTGGAAGTTTCGTGATAAGTAGATTATAAGAAGGTACGCTGGATTTTGTGCAAGTTATAAGGATAAACAAAAATATTGCTTATATACCTGATGAAGAGATTCGCGGAGAGCTCTGTTACATTGATTGATTTTTAGAGCAGCTTTTCATTTATTTAAACAAGCAGGAAACTTATGATGGTAATCCCGGAACGTTAAAAATTACAATATTGACCCCCACGTTAACCTATCATATTACTATTGCACTATCGATACTGTGGTAAGCTCACCACTGGATTGACGTCAAAAAGAATCGTTGTCTCAGCCTGCGGGCTGCTGACTGGAGCCGAAAGTCCGCTTGAACGTGAGCTTGCACCACCTTCATCCTTATATGGCCGGTACATGCAGCTGATGAGGTTGGAAAGGACTCTGTTGTTGTTGTTGTTGTTCTCCTATTGTTAGTGGCGCATACCCACTGTGGGGGATTGGTCAAGAATCGAGTGGCTTTAAAGTTTACTGTTCAAATTTAGAATGATGGAAGTATAACAGAAAGATTACCGATAGCCTATAGGCAAGTGTCGTGCTTAATGTAATGCATACAAATTTTTACATAAACAAATTTATTCTTAGAATAGAGCAATAATCTGATTTTATACGTATACAATTATGTGGACATGTTAAGATAATGAAACTGGTTAATTAGTCAACCTATTAGTTTCATCAATACAGTCCCGGACGGCCACGCATACTGTGCCATTACAGAAACCAGAAATGGAAGCTCCAAAAGACAAATTGACAGGCAGAGATAAGTCCATACCAATGCCACGCAAAGGTATTTCTAACAGGGTTTTTGGTAATGTGTTAAACCACCTGCAGGTCAAAAAGAAATGGTCTATTGTTTCCAGTTCATCACAGAATGCGCACAGTGGCGAAGGTGCCTGAGCAGACCTGTGTTTATAGAAATTTAGATTTGGTACCCGGCAACGCAGCCTTGTGATAGCTACTTCTTGTTTTCGAGTGCGGCAAAAGTCTCTTCGCCAGGGATATAATAAATGGCGATATTCTGTAGAGTTTGTTAGTGCTGAACCTTTAAAGACTTGCATAAGCGTACGTCTGCGAAATCGAGCAGAAGTCACATAAGCGGATGATGGACAGAGCGGTAGAATTGGTTCGCTGATTGACGACTTAGCTAAGGAATCGGCTATTTCATTCAGAAACAAACCTTTATGTCCAGGCACCCAAACTAATCGCACTTTTCTCAAATGCACAGGTACTAGTGCACGGAACGCCCTTGTTACGTGATTATCAGCACCAACAGAAAGTGCTGCACAGAGAGATAGGGAATCTGTTATTATGACAGCTGATGTAATTGCTGTATCTAACTTGCGTAAGGCGAGCACTACTGCCAGAAACTCAGCCACAAAAACGGGTATGAAATCGGGTAGTCGAAGGGAATAAATCCAATTTAAAATCGGGCTGAAAATACCAACCCCTGACTTTTCGTCGTATTGCGATGCGTCTGTAGCAATAATAACGTTCGTTGTAATACGGCGCAGGTGATCTTGTAGTAAACCATCCATAATATTATGGGGAAGTAATTTGGCATTATTAGAAATAATGTCGTCGAATTGAATTTCCACCGGGGCTGAATTATAACGACTCGGCATGATGTCGCATATACGTACGTTTAGAGGCTCCAGTAAATTTTGCACAAATATAATTTGTGGCGTGTGAAATCGCGGCCATCTAGCAGCAAAAAATGATTCCGGGGTGGAAATAAAGGCTGTTTCTGAATGTCGTAATGGTGATTCATAAATTCTTAAGAATGTCTGAACAGTCAGAAGGCGAATTCTACAAGAAAGCGGAGGGACCCTCGATTCGAGATATAACACATTGTTGGCGACTGTTTTGGGAAGGCCAAGGCATAAGCGCAAAGCTTCTCTTTCCAGAAGAATTAGAGGCCGCAACTTGTAAGCTGGAACTCCAGAGAAAAGCACACAACCAAATTCCAAAATGGGACGAACATACATGCGATAAATTATTATTAATGTGTCTCTTCTCATACCTATGCGGTAGTTACTTAGCCTACGTAATATGCCAATGGCCCGCACACCTTTTCCGGCGATATATTCGATATGAGATCGCCAGTTAAGCGATGTGTGATAAATTACTCCAAGGTATTTAACAGATTCTACCTGTGGTATATCCTCATGATGGTAAGACAGAGAGATGTTCACAGGGTATTGCAGCGGGAAAACAAGGAGGGCCTATTTACTCGGACTAAGTAAAAAGTTGTTGCCATCGAGCCAGCTCTCCAATATATTAAGGTAAGTCTGCAGCTGTTCATATAAGGTCTGAATGTTATCTGCCATTGCAAAAAATGCGA